GTTATGGAATATTGCACATTGTATGGTATTGCACAGTAGGTAGGTTTTTAACAGTGTTTAATAGTGACTGAGGAGAGTAGTAACCATAAGGCTGAGGTGATGAATTATAACTCTTTATCCAAATGAAAGCTCTCTAGTTATGTAATTAAACGTGTAGACCAATGATCCCCTAGTCACGTTCACTATCGGGGATGGGAAATATATGATATTATCTTGTATCACGATGCATTTATCATGGTGAAAGTCCATTATTGAACTGAAAAAGCTGTCTACCTCGCTGCATACAGTCCTGTAGTGATTTCCTGATTTATTTTGGAGACGCAGGACTCCACAGTTTCCTCATTATACCCTAAAATCCTCGGCTGAATGCTCGGCTGGCCTCCCACACGTTACATCTGTGATGCACTAACTATGTGGCATTGTTTGCATGTGTTCTGTGTTATACTATTGTTTGCTACTGTATCCTTAACTTCCACGCATCAGGTCCCAACTCACAATTAATACAGCGATTGTGTACATGCACCGATTCTACATGGTCCAGTCGTTCACCAGATTTCACAGAAATGTAAGTATTGTTTGTCGCACTCGCCCCCCCAAAAAGTCCCTGATGCAAACTGTCCGTCGGTCAACTCATGTGTTTATTTTGGGTTTACCGCCAGGTTATTTCTCCCGCCGCGCTCTTCCTCGCTGCGAAGGTCGAGGAGCAGCCCCGAAAGCTGGAACATGTTATAAAGGTGGCCCATGCATGCCTCAATCCTCAGGATCCTTCACCAGATGTACGCAGTGATGTAAGTGTTGGGATGTCGTGAAAATCGCCTGCAATTGTGCTCCTCCTCCTCAAGGGGAATGTATTATTTCATCAGCAGAACGTGTGTTTATCTGTTTTTAATAACTTAACGAATTGTTTTGTGTACATTCAGAATCAACAATTTGTCTATAAAACTTCCTGTGTGGCTGCACTTTAAGTTGAAGCTACTAAATGTGTTGACGCGTTTCCTTCTGGAGCGGAGGATTTTCCCACAGCAGCTTCAGTGTTGATGCTTTTAGATGTAATGTTTGTTGTCATAAAGTTAACAGATATTTGGGTGTTTCTTATTTTCACAATGCATTTAAACTGGGTGCAGTTGCCTGACGGGTTTGTTTTTGTTTGGAGCTGCTGCTTACCTCAGACATTAGGGCTGCTAGATACACGAGGTCGAGAGCAGAAATACATCCCAGTGTCTGTAGGTTGAGTCATCCAGGTAATGTCATGTTTAACAGTTGTAAAACACGTGCATCTGTACTCAGTTTGTAGATCATAACCGTTTCATTGCTTCGTCAACTCTACGTGAAAGGTGGGTTTAATGTGTTTGACAAACGGATAGAGGCCTCCCAGTGAGTAACGTGCCTCCTGTCCTCTCAACCTCAGGCCTACCTGCAACAAGCCCAAGACCTGGTCATTCTTGAGAGCATAATACTCCAGACCTTGGGTAAGTTGGGAAGGAAGAACTGGGTCCCTTGATTCCCCTCCAGAAACACATTTTTGATTATAAACTAGTGCTAACCTGTTTTACTTTTGTCTACAGAAAGCCCATATGCGGTTAGCAGCACTGGAAAGAGACATTCACGCTTCATATTAGCTGCTTGCTACATTACCCATTGTTTCCTTTTTTTGTTCCTATTATGTCCTTAACTTTAACGTTCCCCTTTTTTTTTTTTTTTTTTCTGGGTTATATTTTTAAGCCAGATGTTTGAGGACCATGTGATGGATCATTGTATTACTATGAGTGATTGCTTTTAGCGTCTTTGCCACACCTGCTTAATCCTTTCCCATGCTCAAGCTTGGAAGTAGGCAGCTGAAGAAGATAATTTATTGATTTAATTGAAAACAACAAATTGATTTTTTTTTTTAAAGCAAGATTCGGTGTCGCAATCAAGAAAGAATTGGGGAAAAGACTTTTAATTTAATGGTTTCTTTTTTACGTTCATCTGTTGATGTTTTCACGTCATTCAGGATGTTATTGGAAGACCCCATGAATATTCTTTACAACACATAGTTTGATATAACAGCATTTATTTTCTGGTTTCCAGGGAGTTGTCATAATCTTTACTGCTGAATGGGATTGAATGAAATCTAAATGGTGCATATGTTAGTTTGACTTCTGCCTTTCATTTATGAAGCCGTGTCTCTTTTTGTCCCTTTTTTATTACAGCTTTTGAAATCACCATTGACCATCCACACACTCACGTTGTCAAGTGCACTCAGCTTGTCAGAGGTGAGCATCAACTCGTCAATTTAAGTTCAATTCTGTTTGGATGTTTCTGATTTGAAGTTTTGAACATTAAATTGTTCCTTTAGCAGATTTTAAGTGTGTTTTTTTGTTCTATTGTTGTTCCAGCGAGTAAGGATTTGGCTCAAACATCATACTTTATGGCCACAAACAGGTATATTCACAGTTCACTGTAAAACATAAGCTTTCTGTGTTTTTTCATATGAACAGTAAAACAGTGCAGCATGTGTAAATCATTTCCAAACTCAATATACTGAATATCTGTTCTCTCTCCTCCTGTTTCTGTTTCCTTTCCTTCCGGGACGTATCCTGCCACGTAGTCTGCACTTGACCACGTTCTGCCTGCAGTATAGTCCGCCGGTTGTGGCCTGTGTGTGCATCCATCTCGCCTGCAAGTGGTCCAACTGGGAGATCCCCGTGTCTACAGACGGCAAACACTGGTGGGAGTATGTTGATCCCACAGTTACCCTCGAGCTGCTGGATGGTATGTGCTGAAAATGACCTCACTCACTCAACTTTTCAAGTACAAGCAGGAAGAACATGTTTTGAAAGTCAAATCATACGTCAGTTACAGATTAATCTGATAAATGGTGATTCGAAAGTTTAACTCCAGCTGAGCTTCACTCGCTTCTTTATAACTTCTTTTCAGAGCTCACACATGAGTTCCTGCAGATTCTAGAGAAAACACCCAGTCGGTTGAAACGGATTCGCAACTGGAAGGTACAGTTCTTCCCCCTTTGTGAGCAATACATCCTTCATTGTGCATTTTTTGTTGACTTGCATTTCATTGGTTGTCTCTCTTCTTGGCTCCAGGCTGGAGGTCAGACACCAAAAGCCAAGACAAAAGTCCAGGAGGAAGGGGACCAGAGGGACGCCATGATGAGCATGATCTCCATGGCCTCATCAGAGAGCACCGTGGCGGGCCTGATGAGCCTCTCAGCTCCACCTTCGGCCTCTTCTTCCTCATCCATGGGCGACAAGGACAGGGGTGCATCTGGCAGCGCTCAGACTTGGAGTGGGAAAGGTGCGGCTGTATCCGAGCAGCAGCAGCAGCCCAACAACGAGGTTCATGCCCCAGCCAAGGTATCGCTGAGTGAGTACCGCGCCAAGAACGCAGACGTCCTGGCCGCCCAGAAGAGGAAGCTGGAGAACATGGAGGCCAGCGTGAAGAGGGACTACGCTAACGCTGCCCAGGCTCTCATTGGTCAGCAGCAGAGGAAGGAGAAGCAGCAGCATCATCACCAGCAGTCCAGCTCCTCCTCCTCCGACGTGTCCAATCCTTCGCCCATTATTCTGAAAATCCCACTGGAGAAGGAGAGGCACGACCGGAGCTCTCTGAAAATGCGCTTCCCCCTCGCTGGGGGAGGAGGCAGCGGGCACGGAGCCAGCGCCCGTCAGGATCAGGACATCAAAGTCAGAATACGAGTGCCTGAGAAGCAACGAGGGAGTTCAGGGGAGGAGGGCAAGAGCAGGGACAAGCACAGGGAACGGTCCAACCACCACCACCATCACCACCACCACCACCACCATTCCTCTGGCAGTGCCTCCCTCTCCTCTTCACACAAACATTCATCCAGTACCGGCGGAGCGGTCGGAAGCAGCAAAAAAGTCCCCAGCGACTCCTCTAGAACGAGCTCTTCGTCCTCTTCCACCTCACGTAAGAGGACGCACTCCCAAGACTCCACGGCGGGCTCTCACGCTGCCTCTAAAGTCAGCAAGTCCTCTAGGAACCCCTACCAGCTGCCGTCCCTGTCGTCCTCTGGACAAACTCTGGGGCACGGTCCTGACATTCTGCCCAACCTGGGCCTTCCCCTCCACCAGGGGAGCTATTCACACTCCAAAGGCGACAAGACGGACACTAATGGACACGGTGCGACAGGCGGAGCCCAGTCGAACGAGTACCAGGACACTTTTGAAATGCTAAACTCGCTTCTGAGTGCGCAGGGGGTCCAGCCGTCCCAGCCGTCCATGTTTGACTACAGATCCCAATATGGGGAGTACCGGTACAGTGGTGGCTCCAGGGGGAGCAACCCCAGGCCCCCGCCCCTTCCTTCAGAACCACCTCCCCCACTGCCGCCCTTACCCAAATGAGTTCCTGACGTATTGTGTACATTGTACTTGACGTCAGAAACATCCATGTTGTTACGTAAAGTATTGTATTCTTTTTTTATTTTTAAAACTCACCCAACATTTTTTTGTTTTGTTTTGTTTTAGTGTGACAGCAGCGAAATGTAGTGGTGAGATAAATCAGTTTTCAATCTTTTTCTTTTTACAGTTCACTTATGGGGCAATAATGAGAGGCTTTAAAAGCTTGAAAAATGTGATAAAAAAAATTTACAGAAAAGTGTAGATAATATTTTTTTTTAACTCTTCTGTTTAACTCAAATGTGATGATGATGATGATGATGGGACCTGGTATTTTTACCATCACTGTTTTTGGAGGAAGTCATCGTCTTGAAATCATGAGGAAACTAAAAGATTTCCATCATATATACCTGTTAGGTCTTCTTACAGATTGTCTTTTTATAATGTTTTTATAGTATGTTATTTATTAATTGAATGCTTTTTAAAAAAACAAAAAAAAAGTCCCCTTTTGTACCTTTTTTAAGGTTTCCCCTCTATGTTCTTTTTTGGGCAGAGGGATATTTCTCCATCAAGACTGTACAGGCTAGTTTGAGAGTGCATGTCTCCAAAGCCATCTTTTCAATATTTTTGTCTTTTTTAAATATTTTCTTTATTATTTTTTTCTTTAACAGCCATAACTTAAAAAAAATAAGGTGACTGCCCAACACCCCCCCCCCCCCCGCCCCACAAACACCCCCCCCCCCCCCCCTGTTGTTTATCGATTTTATTTCCTGTATTATTTGGTAAACTTGTACAAAGACTGTAAAATGTTTAAAAACATGAAATATTTTTTACATTTTGTTAAGAAAAATTGCAAAAAAAAGATGTAAATTAAGGAAAGCTTGTAATTTTTTTTTGGTTTTAGATTTTGAGTGTTGCAGTCATTGTTTTAAATGGTTGTAAAATATTCATATTCAGTTCTCTAATGATTACACTAATGGACAGTTCATACCAAGGATATAGAACATTTATGGTTTATCAAAGGGGTTCAAAGAGTTCAAACATATCTACCCGGTATGGTCACAATGAAGGAATTTCCAATAAAAAAAAAATCCCTGTAGAGAGGAAATGTGAGTTTTTGTCCTGTGATGTAATTGTCACTTGTTCATCCGTTTCCTCTGGAGGTCTTTTAGGTTGATCGCAGCTAAATGCAGAGACGGAAATAGGCAACGTGAATGGCCCCGCCGTCAGACGAGTCCCCCTGAAACTGCCGTAAAACAAAATATATTCTCTACTGGTGCTCACTTTGTGGTGACCATATCGAGCACAGTATACAATAAAGTATTCAAAATACACAATATCAAAGGCTAATCAAACCACATCTGTCTGTCATCCACCTGTTATGGTTGTCTTTCATTTATACATTTCCTTTTGGGGGACGTTTTTAAATGTGTAAACTCCAGTGTACGCCTGTCGATTTGTGCTGGTCTGATTTTAATCATGTTTAAAAGCTCTCTTTTGAGTCAATACCTTTCGAACTACATTGGTGGATATTCAGCTTCAGATTGTTGTTTATGGTCCATCCGCAAGCCATGATTCTTCAAAATGTTTGCATGTGTTCTTTAGTTCTGTAAATCGTACACTGCAAGCAGGTTATCGACATACCTCCACTACAAGGTCATAAGCATGAAGTATAATACTGTCTAATAAATTTGAATTAATGATGAATTTGGCTACGTTCACACTGCAAGCCTGAGCGTTCAATTCTGATTTATTGCTCATATATGACTGTTTTATTCACATTACAGTTGAAACGGGCCAGAATCAGATTCCAGTGTGAGCGGGTGATGATCCTGAAGTGATCTGCATAACATAACGTAGTCACGTGAATTCTGATACGACCGCTCACACTGAGGTTGCATTGCAATGTGATTTCTGCTGCTCACACAGATCTGAGTCACATATGAGCAAAAAACAAATCAGATTTGTGTCCCTTGTGTCTGCAGTGTGATCGTAGCCTTTTGTTTTGAGCAAAAAAAAAGTTGAAAATGTGCCATTTGTTGGCAAGAGAATCGGGTATCATCTGTACATTTAATTCATACTAAGCTTTATATGGTTTTGATTGTATAGTGTTACTGCTCTTTACCTGCTTTCTTTTTATCAGTTTGTAATCTAAAACTCATTTTTAGGCAGTTCACAGTAATGCAGTACAAGAAATCAGCCATACAATTGTACAATATGTTTTTGTTCCCTTGATTATATGGAAGATAAGCTGAAAGAGTACAGCTCTTTGCTCAGGCAGCAGAGGTTTTTATTAGTTATTCAACTCTTGGTTGTAACAGGGAAACAGTAAATGCACTGAATATTTATCTCAGTAGGTTTGCCTACAATGCAATTGACAAAGTGTTACATGTATAATGGTTAGACTATTAGAATAGATGTCCAATATATCATTGCCATTTAAAAAACAACAACATTGTTTTATTTGATCTGGACAAATCTTCCAATTTAAGTATTAACTTGATGCTGTGAGAGAGTCATACAAAAAGGAACACGCATTTCAAAACAAACCCATATGTGAGGAAAAAAAAATGGAAGACACTCATGCAACCTAACAATGCAAAAATCACATTAGCTACAATAAGTTTCGCGTTTTTTTTTTCACGTCTTGGTGTTTTCAGTGACACTCAGGTCTGGAAATAAAACGTTTTGGGATATTCTTTTGTTTTCAGTTAAAAGGATATATGTGAACACTGTTCTTTTTTGATATAATGTGGTTGCTTTATTCTCATTAAAGTCAATAAATATTTTAAGAAAAACTGCGTGTTGTTTTTTTTTGTGTTTTTTTTGCTGCAATATTGTGGGTGTATAAGAAAACTGTGTTTGGTGGCGGCTTTGATTGGCAGCCAGATTGGCCAATGAGAAGCCTTGATTGATTTGAGCGAATCAGAGCTGCGGGTGGGCGGGCTCTGTTGGCGGTGGCAGTTATTGGAGAATGCAGGAAAACCGACGTAGTGTATCTCGGGAGCTAGAGCCGACCGGTCGACGGAGACGAAGGTAAGCGGCGATAAAACCCCCCAAAAAATAGGTCGTGTTCGTCTTCTGGCACCGAGGCAATTCGCCAGTATCGAGAAAGACGAGTAACTGACGCAAACGGTCGGCAAAACTGGCTTTTTTAGGCGCGAATTGCGATGGGTGACGGTTAGCTGGCTTTAGCAACGGCTGAACAAAGATGGCGACTGCGGCTCGTAACTGAAAGAGTGACGCAGTGAAAGAGGCGGGCTGAAGCTCTGCGTGGCGCCTGCTCACTGACGAGGAGGAGAAATTTACTTTCTTAACTCAAATATACGCAGTAATATTTATTTATTTTTGTTCTCAACGTTAGTACGGGTTTTTTTCAATACGTTTTTTGTAACATTTATGACCCGTTATGTCTGTGCGTTATGCGTGTTAACTTTATTTTAAAGTTAATAAATGTGGAAGCTGTCAAGCCACCTGACCTGGCACCGCCTGCTTTAACGTTATTTAATATGAACAATAACTTTCATTCATGTTGGATCAACTGTAAACACGGTACTTATACATATATAAAGTTCTGTTTGCATCTTATAATTATTAAGTCGACATACTCTTAAAAATTTCTGACCTTTTGGACCTTATTTGTTGATTAAATGGCCAAATAAGCCACGTGTATGTCTGAATTGTGGCATTATAACAGCATTAAAATCAAATTTACTTATAAAGCATATTAAAAAAACTAACCCGTGTTGACAAATCTTGTTCTGTAGATGTAAGAAAACATGTTTGTTTGGTACTTAGACCACAACAATGCGGCATTATCACCATTTAATCGTTTTTTCTCAGCAGAAATTTTAATTGTGGTTGCAAAAGATTATCATTCACACTCATCTTTGCAACCGCAGTATCTGTCAAAATTATCGCAATATGATTTTATTTAATTCTTTAACCACATTGTGCAACTCTGATCCGTATAATCCTTAGTTTACTCTATAAAATGCCAGGAAATACCAAAAACAAAGGTGTCTCGGAGCCCGACATGATGTTTTAATGTCAAATTGAGAAAAACCCCAAAATGTAATATTAACACCATTCATGCCAAAGATTAGACAACAAATCCTCACATTAAAGAATCTGAATCATGGGAATGTTTTGCTTGAACGTCTGAAACAATTAATGGATTTTCAGCATTTTTCAACCAATTTTCTGCCAATAAATCAACCAGCTCCAGCCTCCACTGTCAGATAATAATACTAAAGATGTTTTTTAATTCTTTTGCAGACGATGAACAGGATACGGATCCACGTTTTGCCTTCGAGTCGGAACCGGGTGCCCCAGACGCCTCGGCCCCAGGAGCCCCAGGCCTGCTCCTTCACGCAGCGACCGTGCTCGCAGCCCCGTCTGGAAGGCCTGGAGTTCTGCATCAAACACATCCTGGAGGACAAGAACGCCCCGTACAAGCAGTGCAGCTACGTCTCGGCCAAGAACGGCAAGCGCTGCCCCAACGCTTCACCGAAGGTCGAGAGGAAGGACGGGTGGGTAGAGACTTTAACATAAACTGCACGTCTCTTTTAACGTGTCCCATCAGCGTTCTGACATCTCCACTGACCGTCTGTTCTGCAGAGTGACGTTCTGCGCGGAGCATGTTCGTAGGAACGCCATGGCTCTGCGAGCTCAGATGAGAAAGCCTCCCTCCGGTCCGACCCCAGAGACGCTGCTGTCTCAGCTCAGCGGGTACAACCGCGCAGAGACACACGAAGGAGGCCGCTCTGAAGCGAGCCGCATTCTGGGTAAATGGTCCGACTGAGATACTGTAAACTGTAAGACAACTCACTGAAGTTAAACTCGTCTGTGTTACAACAGGCGGTGAATTGTTTTGAATTGTTATTTCTCGTGCAGTTTCTTTTAGTGTTTGAATCTGATTTAATGTTGAACCGTCTGTGGACAGATGAGGACAGTCTGAGTGAGGAGGAGCAGGGTCCCTTGGTACTGGACCAGACCTGGAGAGGAGATCCTGACAGTGACGCAGACAGTGTGGACAGTGATCACGAGGATCCTCTGAAGTAAGCCGAGTCATTTAGACTCTTGATGTCACACGTTGTCACTGTGATCTTTCTTGGTTGTCGGCTCAGACATAAGTTTCCTTCCTTCCTTTTAAAGAGTGTAAACTAACTCTTAGCAGGTTTTCAGTATGTCCAAAGACACACGGTGTTTTAATTGTGTATAAAACTGTAAATTCTGTTCAAATCTTGTGTCCTAACTATAACAATAAGAATATATTACCTGTTGTGTTTTAATGTGTTTGGCCCTTTCCTTACTGATGTTCACGGTGAATGTTGTGACTCACAGACACGCAGGAGTGTACACGGCAGAGGAGGTGGCGTTCATCACTCGGGAAAAACTCATCAGGCTTCAGTCGCTCTACATCGACCAGTTCAAACGCCTGCAGCACTTACTTAAGGAGAAAAAGCGTCGATACCTGCACAGCCGCAAAGTGGAGCATGAAACTTTAGGTAAACCTGCAAACGTTTGCTTATTAACTTTACATGTTTTTCTTTGTTTACCTGTTACTGTTCAGGAAACCATCACTCATCAACATCTGTCTGTTCATGTTGCTGTCAGGGAGCAGTCTGCTGACGGGGCCTGAAGGTTTATCCACGAAGGAGAGGGAGAACCTGAAGAAGCTCAAAGCTCTGCGCCGATACCGTCG